TCCCCAAAAAAAAAACCAACTAATCCATACTGTTGATAGGCTCAAAGACAGAACATTAGTAGAATAACAATGACATCTAAAATCAATTCCCTTTTTTCCCAGATCGATCCCGTCCTCTCGTGCGTGGCTGTTTTTGTTGTATTTAAGCTGTTTAAACCCCCTGATCCACTCTGACTATCCTCTCCCAACGAGGCTTCATTTATTAGTAATTAAATGAAACGGGTTTGAGGTGTGTTCACAGTGCGTTGGAGGTGTGTTTTTATTTCTTTTGTCTTTTTGTGACTCCGGGATGAACCTGTTGTGATGTTGATGTTTGACAGTTCAGATGAGGCCTCCCTCGAGGGATTCCGCCCGTCCGACTTGTGTGACTGCTTAATCACTTCAAGGAGGGAGCCTTCTTCTTAATTATAGGTTCTACTTATGGAACAACCTGCATGTGATTTCTTTTCTCTTTCCCCCCTCCCTCCTCTCTCTTGGAACTTGCTTGCCACCACTTTTAAAAAGAAACCTCTGCGTGTGTGTTTACTTTTCCAAAAAAAAAGAAAAGGTGTTGCAGCCAAAACCCCGCTAACGCGTATTATCATCAAGTCATTCACACGTGTTTAAACCCGCCTAAACTTGCAGAAGTGATATAGGTCTGACTCCCGTTAAGACAAAGTGAAAGAGAACAGCTACAGGAGGAATTATACAAGCGTTGAAAGATTTAAATGTGCATTGTGCACCGTTTATTTTTCTCTACCCTCCTTCCTCTCACTGTTAATGGGGATCAGGATTCGCGGACCGCGGTGTGTCTAGCCTCGCATTAGACGACTGTAGTATTAATTAAAATTTTCATTCCCACATCCAAATTGTTTACTTATCTGCCAGGAACATATGCTGGAGAAGTTAAGATTCGCGATTCTGCACTATTGCCCAAGGTGCAATTCAATCCTGGGGAAGGAAGGAAGGGAGGGAGGGAAGGAAAGGGGGGGAGAGGACGGGTAGATTTGTTTTATGACAGACTTAGTCCTTATCTAGAGCTGTAAATTAGGGTGATACTTCATTGAACCGAATGTGAAGTTTTACATCAAACCCCTAAAGCATCCCAATTCAACTTTGAAATTAGAGAATTATAATTACTTTCAGGAGTAACAGCAGACGTGGATATTTTTTTTCTTTCTCCCGTGATGAAAATGAGGCCAATAAATCTTTCTTTTGTATACATAACTGTTGTTTTAACACCCTGCTATAGAGTTTTGCTTTGAGTGTTTCCTCTATTTCATGAGCGCGCTGCGATGCGCTCACTATACCTGTAATTATCCAACTTAGTCACGGGAATAGACCGCGGGTTCCAACGCCCTGAAATAAATAACCTTAACGATAAACGGCGTCTGAGAGGTATAATGGGAGGGAAATTATGATTTGAAATTATAGGCAGGCTTTTAAAAATCTCTCTTTAACTCGTCCTCCCCTTCCACACACCCCTCTTGACGGGTTTTATTGGAGCACAACAGAGAGAATTCAATCTGCCTTATCTCTCCAGGACTCCTTTTCAGCGCGAGATCAGAGGGGGAGAAAAAAAGGAGAGGATAATTGTTCTTTATTTTATTTAATTCAGGTCATTTATATGCCTCATTTGTCGATAAAAGTCAACGAGAAGGGGGACACCGAGGATAGCAGGCGCGTTTTTACTTGTTTTCCGCCCTCCACAACATTTCAAGTCCCCCCCTTCTCCAAAAAAAAAAAATAAAAATAAAAACGTTAAACAGATCAAACAAAAATAGCGGACATTTAATTAAAAGCCTTGCGTCATTTACATTATTGTGTTTTAACGTTACCATGAAAGCATCTTCAGTGAATGGAGTTTGATAAGTAGCTGTTGAGATGTGTTTTTTTGTATTTAGGCGTGCTAATTTCCTAAATCATAAAAGGGGGGGGGGGGGGGAGAAGTTGAAGGAAAAAAAAAGACTATTGATCATGCTGCTGATGATAATGATGATGATGATGGCAGTGTCACTGTTGCTTCTTCTGATGATGGTGTGTAGAGAAGAAGAGATGATCTTATATGCCAAACACAGGCTCACTTATCAAAGATGCATTCATTTTTGGCGTGTGTCAACGCGAGATTTGACACAAATATATATTGAGGACATTTTCTTTTTTGGGGGGGGGGGGGGGGGGGGGGG